TCAGAACTGTTATCTGTGTTATGTAAGGTATTGCACCACAATACATTCTCTACAAGTGGCTAACAATATTATTTACGTTCGCACTTTGTAATTTAGTATTCATTCTCTGCTGACATGATTCCTAATTTTATCCTTGCGGGTCACTCTCGGGCAGTTTCAGTTCCCTATTATCTAGAAGTTGCAATCAAGCAAGATAATAAAAGATGAAAAAAAAAATTTGCTAAGAGATATATGAACGCTGTCAAAAATAGCAGTTGTCTTTTTCAAAAAGTTTGACATGTATATTGTAAGTAATAGATGTGACTGGAAGAAGCAGACGATGCCGACAGGGGGAAAATCAAGTGGCCTGCAGACAGTGAGCCTAGCCGGAAGCCTCCGACATCCAGCTCTGCTGCCGTCAAATTGAGCTTACTTCCGCCCTGTAAGTCAGTATCTTGAGGATGGAAACAAAAAAGAAAAACATACATAGGAAACATAAGTTGACGACAACAGTATCACCAAACCCTGTACTATCTTTCTCTGTGACTGCTTCATAATGCCTTACTAACAGAAGAACGGTTGACCCAGTCAAGCTCATGAGATAAACTCCATGTGAGCTAGTATTCACTGTTGTATTCAGACACAGAGCGGCAACTTTTAGAGAGCGACAACATTCTGAGAGCGACTAAATATAAATAGTAGCTTAGAAACTGCCGACGAGAAGGGGTAAATTTCGTGAGTAGTACCAAAAATGTTCAGGTCCGTGTCACTGTCACGACTATCAGCAGTGAGAGGGTTTCTGTGAAGAACTTATTCTCTAAGGTTATTTCACAACACAAAGAACTCACATAGCTTTGTGAGCACTCATCACACTAAAATCTTGCTAGTTTGTCAGGTTTCTTTTATCTGTGTAGGCATATACTTATATTTAACATGTTGCTATCTGGTGTACCTGTAACGTTACACCCTGAGTACGTATGTTTACATAATGTCTATCTGGCGTAGCTGTGACATTACTCCTCGTGTACTTATGTTTATACAAGATCTATCTGGTGTATCCGTTGCCTTACACACGGTGTACGTATGTTTATACAAGATCTATCTGGTGTATCTGTTACCTTTCACACGGTGTACGTATATTTATACATGATCTATCTGGTGTATCTGTTACCTTACACACGGTGTACGTATGTTTATACAAGATCTATCTGGTGTATCTGTTACTTTACACCTGGTGTACGTATGTTTATACAAGATCTATCTGGTGATATGTTACCTTACACACAGTGTACGTGTGTTTATACAAGATCTATCTGGTGTATCTGTCACCTTACACACGGTGTACGTATGTTTATACAAGATCTATCTGGTGTATCTGTCACCTTCCACACGGTGTACGTATGTTTATACAAGATCTATCTGGTGTATCTGTCACCTTACACACGGTGTACGTATGTTTATACAAGATCTATCTGGTGTATCTGTTACTTTACACCTGGTGTACGTATGTTTATACAAGATCTATCTGGTGTATATGTTACCTTACACACGGTGTACGTATGTTTATACAAGATCTATTTGGTGTATATGTTACCTTACACACGGTGTACGTATGTTTATACAAGATCTATCATCTTGTGTGGAGTAGTACACTCTATAGTTGTGTCAACAATTACCGATTGTCAGTCTGTTCGATTGTAAACAAAGAGACAATATGAGAAGAGAAAGTTGCATTTTGTGACAAAAAAAAAAATGACAAGAGAAATACAGGAAAACAGAGTGAAACTATTATTGTTGTTTGTCTTCCCCTTCCCTCCACCCCCACCCCTTTTCCCCCCATGGCATTGACATAAATATGGGCCTGATATACAAAGATTCTGAGAATACCATGGAGAAGACAAGAAGTATCGACACACTTAAAGATCTGAGCATCAGGAGAGATTTGCTGGTGAACAGTAATGTGTATGGGAAACTGAAATATTTTGGCCACATCAAGTGTCACGGCGAATGGAAAAAATAAAAGTAGAAAGCTTGTTACCAGCAAAGACGGGCAGGGCTCGACCAGCACGTAGATGGGCACAGGATATGGGTAGGAAATTTGCACGAGGTGGGAGAGCTGGTCGGTGACTGAGTTTCTTTCAAGCAGGTTGTAATGAAGCCGACCTTCTACAAAACACATGCTAGATGGTGGTGATGACATTGAAAAGCATGGCAAAGAAACTGCTACATGCTGTTGTAGATCAAAGGTGTGGAGAAATATTACTTTTTCGAATGAGCAAGACGAATGATGCTGATGATGACTACGATGATAATGACAGATAATGCAGTTATAATAGTTATTTTTTTTTTTTTCAAATATAAAAAAAACAAGTGTTATCATTGTGATCTTAAGAATATAAAAGTATTTAAGACTTTGAAAAGAAACATCAGCACATTACAATTGTGCTGACCTTCGGTTTTTGATTCACGGGATAAACGTGAAAGAACAGAAAACTATAGACAGAAATAGACACGCATATCAGACAGAACTGAAAAACAGCCAGACATTTCTTTCAGAAATCTATGACCCATATGAATAATCTGTAGGGACTTACAGAAGTAAAGCCTTCTAAAATATTTAGATAAGAGTGTCTCTTTCTTTAATCATGCCAGTTGTTGAAGATCTCGTGAGACCACTTCATTTACTCATGCCAGTTGTTGAAGATCTCGTGAGACCACTTCCCATATATTTCTGAGTGAGGATCAATATTTTGGTGAGCTGGTCCAGGTGTCTAGCGGAAAAGAATTTCTCATCCCTTGAAAGTCCATCGTGTCCGAATTGTCTGCCAGTGTCCCTCTGCCACCTGCTAACAAAGGTCAAACACGTGTCCGGTATACCAATCGTAAGCTTGCCGCTCGGTCGTTCAGGTATGCAGACTGCTTTGATTATGCTACCGCGACGACTTCTTATCTCACAGTACCTTCTGCAAAATCACCAGTTCGTCTTGTCCCTATCCGAATAACAACCGGTAATTCGTGCAGCATGGGAAACAAACCCTGAGCTTCATGAAATCAGGTGGGCCCACTCTCTGAAAATATATAGGAGCTCGTGGGCCGAAACATTTGTCGACGAGAGATTACTTCTACTGATGATTGGTAGACCCCTGCTGTACATGCTCCAGTGTGGAGTTTCTTCTTCTTATGATTTTACTTCGTATCCTATTGTTACGAACCTTGTTGATTTTACATCATTGTAGAATTATTTGAGGTTATTCGATGAAACAAAATCTCAGGAGGAGACTCGCGGGAACTCGCCGGAACACGAGACTTTGTTTGATGGGCACTCATCTGAACACAAGACTTTGTTTGGTGGGGTCTCACCTGAATACGAGATTTTGTTTTGTGGGAACGCACCTGAACAAGAGACTTTGTTTGGTGGGGACTTAACTGAACAAGAGACTGTTTGGCGAGGACTCACCTGAACAAGAGAATTTTTTGTGGGTACTCACCTGAACACGAGACTGTTTGGTAGGGACTCACCTGAACACGAGATTTTGTTTTGTGGGGACTCACCTGAACAAGAGACTTTTGTGGGGACTCACCTGAACAAGAGACTTTTGTGGGGACTCACCTAACCACGAGACGAGATAAGGACTCACATTCCCGTTGCTGGTTCCAGGGTCCTATTTAAGGAAAAAAAAAGAAGAGACCAACTGCCTCTCTGACAAGCATGTCCTACAATGCGCCTAATTAGAGATGTTTCCTCCGATGTCAGGGTGCATTGGCCTGAGAGGTGAGGAGCCAATAGTCTGTAAAGAAATCAGCCAGCTCTTATAAACTGACGTGCACGCAAGTCTCAATTCTTGACACAAGATCAAATTCAAGAAGTGTACAAATAACCAGAACGTTCCGGTGCAGTTTACAGACAGCGAACGCTAAGAAAGAGTCGAAGAAGTAGAAAAAAATGAAGAAGAAGAACTCACGTGGGCATGAAAGACAGAATACAATTTCTATGCACAAAAGACAATAATAGGAACACAAATGAACAGAGGACTGAGACTCACGAGAACAAGAGACGATGTTTGAGACTCATGTGAACAAGACACCTATACTAAAACTCACCTGAACAAGACACCCAGGCTGAGACTCATCAAAACAACACACACAGATAGAGACTCACCTGAACAACACACACAGACTGAGACGCACCTGAACAACACATACAGACTGAGACTCACATGAACAACACATACAGACTGATACTCACCTGAACAACACATAGAGACTGAGAATCACCTGAACAACACATACAGACTGAGAATCACCTGAACAACACACACAGACTGAGACGCACCTGAACAACACATACAGACTGAGACTCACCTGAACAACACATAGAGATTGAGACTCATCTGAACAACACATAGAGACTGAGACTCATCTGAACAACACATAGAGACTGAGAATCACCTGAACAACACATAGAGACTGAGACGCACCTGAACAACACACATAAACTGAAACTTACATCAACAAGATACCCAGACTAAGACTCACCTGAACAAGACACACATACTGAGACTCACATGAACAAGACACACAGACTGAGACTCACCTGAACAAGACACACAGACTGAGACTCACATGAACAAGTCACACAGACTGAGACACATGAACAAGACACACAGACTGAGACTCACATCAACAAGATACCCAGACTAAGACTCACATCAACAAGACACACAGACTGAGACTCACATCAACAAGATACCCAGACTAAGACTCACATCAACAAGACACACAGACTGAGACACATGAACAAGACACACAGACTGAGACTCACATCAACAAGATACCCAGACTAAGACTCACATCAACAACACACACAGACTGAGACTCACATGAACAAGACACACAGACTGAGACTCACCTGAACAACACACACAGACTAAGACTCACCTGAACAAGACACACAGACTGAGACTCACATAAACAAGACACACAGAGACTCACCTGAACAACACGCGCAGACTGAGACTCAC